TAGCCAGTCAGCGGTCGAATTTTCCCGTCGGTATGCAGGCCCTAAGAATCCAAGATTGATGATGCACCGGGGGCAGAGGACGACTTATGGTTTGAGCTTTGGCTTAGCGGTAACGACATGCTAACGCCGAGACAGGACAGCCTGCATATCAGGCTGATGTTTCGCGCGTCCTGCCCAGGGATCTGTGGTTCTGCAGGGCCACTACAACCGACAGGTTCGCTGCCGTAAATCCCAACACAACCTTTGGCAGCGGGCTCCACAGCCGTGCAGTGTGCCTTATCGCTGTTTCACAACGCCGGCGGGTTTCTGATAGACGGCCACTACACAAGACAAGACGTGTTCAAGATACACACTGCGTTATGACATTGCTCCTATATCGCATCTTGCGTGTGCACGTCCCGGAGCTATACGGTGTTGATCCGGCAAAACGAGTCTAACAATGCTTGAGTCCCCAGATACTAGCTCGCTGGGCGAATAACAAGAGCTCCCGGTCGTGTACCCACAAGAAGATCTAGCCTCATATATACACACAGAGTAACGGGATAAAGAAAAGACTACGCGAGGCCTACCGTACCAAGTAGCTCTGGTCGCGCATCCCTATCCATGCTCGTCCCGCCAGTTTGATACGCCTAGCAAATGACGTGGAACCTTTGAATCTTCCCTCATGCGATGCCATTATCTCGCCGATGCACCAACCTGAGGCAAGCCCAGCTTGTGCCAGGCCACCGTTGATCGAAATGGGCCTTCTCAACAACTATATCAGCCTCCACGCTCCCGTGGGGTGGGCTTCTGTTAGCTATCTCTTCCTCACTTCTTCCCGCTCTCCATTGCCACCATCCCCCATACTACCAAAATTTTCTCGTAATGGCTCCCTCAGCTCTCGCAGATATCTATCCAATCCCAACAAGGCACTACTCCAAGTCCTCGACTGTCGTAGCTTCGGTCTTACATGGGCCAAGGGATTTGCGGCTCGTATGCCTTCCAATTTCGTTACACATCCCACGTCTACCCACTACTCGTGGGGGTTTTGGTGTATATTGAGCATCTAAACGTGAAGCTAACGAATCCAATTAGGAAACTCGTACCATTACGGATCCCGCCGCCAATGAACTCCAGATCGCTATCAAGGCCACTGGACTGTGCGGAAGCGATTGTTCCTACTACAGCAAGTTCTGCAACGGTGACCTGCAGGCTTGCGAGCCGCTGTCACTAGGCCATGAGTCTGCTGGGGTTGTGGTGGCCATCGGCGAGAGTGTTACTGGCTACCAGATTGGCGATCGTGTTGCTCTGGAGGTAGGTGTGCCGTGCGACAACTGCAGGTCATGCCAACGGGGACGCTACAATCTCTGCCCGAAGATGAGGTTTCGGAGTAGCGCCAAATCTGTGCCTCACTTCCAGGGGACGCTTCAGGAACGCATCAACCATCCCGCGAAATGGTGCCACAAGTATGTCGTGCATGATCGACCCGAAGCCGAACTTAGCTGACAACTTAAATCAGACTACCTTCGCATGTTTCCATGGAATCGGCTGCACTTCTGGAGCCTCTTTCTGTTGCGATACATGCAACAAGAAGAGCCCAGATTGAGCAGGGTGACACGGCCATTGTTTTTGGCGCAGGCACAGTCGGCCTTCTGACAGCTGCGATGGCCAAGGTGTCTGGCGCCACAACCGTTGTCATCGCAGACATCGACTATGGGCGAATCAACTACGCCTTGGCGAACGGCTTCGCCCACAAGGGCTACATCGTGACCCCGCAGAAACATGACAACGAGACTGCTGAGAAGTTCGCCATAGCCAAGGAGTTGGCTGCCGATGTTATGCAGATTGCATCCCAGAACGAGCCAGACTTTGAAGGTGCTGATGTCACCTTTGACTGCACTGGAAAGGAAATCTGCATGCAAGCTGGACTATACGTAAGTCTCTTCCGGAAACAATCGCAAACCTAATTCTAATTTCTCGTAGGCGACAAGGCCTGGCGGCAAGCTCATCATGGTCGGAATGGGCACGCCAGTTCAGACACTACCCATGTCAGCATCTCACCTGAAAGAGGTCGACATCATTGGCATCTTTCGCTACGCCAACACCTACCCCACCGGTATCAAGATCTTGTCTGCCGGTGTACTTCCGAGCCTTGACAATATGATCACTCACAGGTTCCATGGGTTGACGTCGACAAAGGAAGCTTTCGAGCTCGCGGGCAAGACGGTCGACAAAGACGGCAAGCTTGTTCTCAAAGTCCTCGTCGAGATGTAAAGAAGCGAACGGCCCAGGAAACCACTAATATGTACATTGAATTGTGTGGCCTTCATAACGACATGATAGAAACAACATAGAGAGATCGTCCGAAAGGCGGCGACCGCGGTCAGGCGTTTTGAAAGTCTGGAGCAAGACTAAGATACCATTCGCTTTTGGGTTGGGTTGGGTTGGATTTGGAGTTATGGAGTGTATTTGTCGATTGACGCAAAGATCTGGAGGCTAGGCCCGACCATGAATGATAATGCCATAATCGTACTCCGATGATAAACGCTCGCTCCGGTTCGTGATCCTTGACTTTGAAGTCTGAGAAAGAGGAGTGTAGTGAAACCTGGATGATGACGGATCTTTCCCAAGGAAAGCGCGTCGCGCTGCAGTCGCGTTGACACTAGCTCTGAACGGGTAGCGCCTTGGCACAACCCCACGAATTGTGGCAGCTGCAGCCTAAGCAAGCTCCCCACCAAGACCATATCATTGCAATTGCCTTGCTGCTCGAACACCACTCCGACCTCCTACCACTATCTCGACCATCGTGAATCTCCCAGACGCGACACCGAATTACACTGCAGCAAATATGGCCGAATCATCAGGAAATCCACTCGTTTCGACCACCCGCGCCTCTGACGCAAGTCCAACAGTACAACTTCACCCGCTGGTACTCCTCACAATCACAGACTGCGTAACACGGCACACACTACGACAGCAGACAGGACCAGTAGTCGGAGCCATACTAGGCGCGCAAGATGGTCAGAATATCACGATGGAGGTTGCTTTTCAAGCAAAGCTCCTACCAAACCAAGACGGAGAGACAGTACTAGACGACGAGTGGTTCAGCAAGCGTATCGAAGACTGTAAGTTCTCGTCTATACCTCATATCTCCACATCTGAACGAAGCTAACCTGAGTGTAGTCAAGGACGTACACAAGGAGCCACAATTAGACATTGTAGGCTGGTTTACCCTCGGTCCCGCCTCCGGCCCAGAACCCCACATCCTTCCTATTCATTCGCGCATATCAGAAGTCTACACCGAGTCTCCGTTGCTCGTACTCTTCCACCCAGAAAATGCCTTCTCCAAAGAAACCGCTGCCGGAAAGCTGCCTCTCACCGTCTACGAGTCCTTGTCCGTCAACACAAGGAGCGATCCGAATGATAAGGCTATGGACATCGACGGCGCTGTACAAGCAAAGTCGACCAAGTTCAGAGAACTTGTATACTCGATTGAGACTGGCGAGGCGGAAATGATCTCTGTCGATTTCGTCGCGCGGGGTGGTGGCAACGCTACTGCAGTGGAAGGCACAGCAAACGTGGCCGGTGCAGCGCCGGAGCTCTCAAGAACCGATGAGGTTACTGGGAAGCGGAATACACGAGGAAAGCAAAAGGAAAAGGAGAAGGAGAAAGAGAAGGATGCGCCCATCGACGAGTCGGTCATCTTGAATGCAGACGACGAAGAAGGTAAGTTCAGCGGCCCAAAGCTTTACTTGGTACAGACATACTAACCTTTATCCAGTTCTCTCTTCGCTTACAGCCAAAATGAACGCCATTCGCATGCTCAGTCGACGAATCATGCTCCTGCGCGCATACATCGACTCGCTCCCAGCATCGTACCTTTCCGACCCGTCCCTACCAGTCAACGCCGCGCCAGACGCGCAACATCCCCTACCTCTAGATCACTCGATTCTCCGCAGTGTATCTGCCATGCTCGCCCGCCTGAATATCCTCGGTCCGCCAGACTCAGCCGCTTTCTCGCTCGAGTCCCAGCAAGAAGCATCTGATGTGCAGCTAGTCAACCTGCTATCATCCATTACAAACTCCGTCTCTCTAGCGAAGGATCTCGGCCGCAAGAGCTCCATCGTTGAACACGCCAAGACCCAGGGCAAGAACCGCATGGGCGGGTATGGCGGAGGTGGCAACTACGGCGGCGACGCCAACTTCTTCAATACTGTCATGAGCGGAGATTCTGGTGGCGACAGGTGGTGATCCCTATCGATCCACCAGCATGAATGAACGGGTACGTTAGAGTCTATATTAGTCTAGAAACGAAGACCCTGAGCTGACGTAGACTTCTAGGTTATTCACGTTGCTGATGGTGCTCTAGATCGGCAAGGCAACGGAGCGTATGCGCGATGACTGACGGCCGTCATCCCCATGCGCTGTTCGATCCAGACGATATTCCCGACGAATTCGACTGGGACTTTGTCAACCAATGGTATCATGCCGTGTTCGCGATTCTCAGCATGGGGCCAGCTTATCTGCTCTTGTTTATAGTCAGCCCGATCATGTTCCCACTAATTATACTGGGGCTATGTTACTGGACAGGGTGGGGGACGTATCGGATCGTACGCAGATTGGGTCTGGCGACATTGCACATGCTGGGGGCTGTTTTACACGCTTTACGTGATCTGATGCGTTTAGCTCAGCGATGAGATTTATGCATAGCGTTCGGCGCATGAGTGGGATTTGATAGACATGGCTATGGATGGCAGTGCGTATTGGACCTGCCGGTATATGAGTAATGAAGAAAGGTACATCCATTCACTCCAGTATCCAGAGCTTTGTGGCGCCTTGGTCAAGGGATATTTTGACACACTGAAGCCTACATTGACGCTAGAGGTTTCTGATCTGCTTGTTTTGTCCTGATATTGGCTGCAGACCTGTGCGATATGAGGTGCCAATAAGACATAGCCCATCTCGTGCTGATTGTTGCACGCCCTCAACTTCCCATGCATCTGCCTTTGACTTTTGCACCCTTATTGAAACCACCCGTTCCTTCTTCCTCCTGTTCTCACCATCTGGGGATCAGCAATAAATCTCCCCTCTAGTCCCTCAAATGCTCTCGCCTCAAATCTCGAAACAAGGAGCAAGTCACTGTAATACTTGTCTCTGTTAGCATCTTCTTGCAGTCGCTTCTTGAGGAACTTGCGTTGTTTGTTGTAAGCTGTACGTGTTGAGTTGGGACTTGGTGGTGTTATGGATCGATCAGGCGTTGATGGTGGAGAAACGAAGGTTGACGAATTCGGCCGTGGTGTATCAGAAGCGTCCGAAGGACCATCTACCCACATGTGAGGTGGCCTGGTCGGTATGCAAGGGGTCGAGGCGGTTGGCGTATCGTGAGAGATGTTGAGGCTGCGAAGGATCACGTTCAAATCGTCTATCTCGGAGTCTGATTGTCTTTGTGACTCAGTAGGCTCGTTCACGACTATCCAGAACGCGTCGATGATGATTTTCCTCTGCTCCTCTGCATGTCTTTGTTCCATACTGAGACCATCCATGCTAATTTTCGAAAGCTTGGAGGACGCCGAGGCTTCCGGCCCCCATGCGATGAGATCGTTGTCGCCGATCTGTGACGTAGTGTTCTCTTCTTGAGATTTAGCAACGACGCGAATTCCGCCCTTCTCGCTGTCGCTGTCGTTGGCGTGGTCGCTATTGTCCCAGCTCCAACCATTCTGATCGAAGTCTAGATCTCCGGCCGTGGGTTCCATCTCTTCTGGTGAAAAGTGGTTGAAGATCCAGCTTCCATCGTCGTCATCGAGTGGGTGCGAGTAGTCGGTACTGACAGGGTGGATTGGATCGGTGCTCGCAATGTAGTCGCCATCGTAGTCGTTCGCATCCATTTCCGTCCAGTCCTTGTTGTGCTTCTTCGGATCGACAACGTCTTCTGGTCGTACTTCTTGGGTCAGGGGTGAGCGCGCTGTCTGGTGATCCGTAATGCTTACCCGCGCCACGCTTTTCTTAAAAGCGTGTGAGGATATCTGCATGTTTCTTGCATCCCAGGAAGCCACGTAATACTGCTCATCAAGTTCTCGAACTAGAGTCGATATTTCATCGACACCAGCCATCCGCTTCTCAATCAGCTTAGCTAGATATGATCTCGCTCGCCCTAACTTAGATTCCCACTGGCTCTCCCATAGCTCATGCTCGCAGGGACTGCAGTCAGTCTGAACGTATACAGTAAGGAAGGATTCGGCAGTACAAGCAGCTCGTATGCTTGTCCTCGTCATCTTGTGCTTGGTACCCTTGCAGCGCGATCTTCGTAGACGTAGTAGATGCTGGCATTTGAAGGAAAAGTGAATGACGTTGCACATGGTAGGCGAGTATTGTGACTAAAGACGGAGCGCTGACTTCGTATACGAACGAGTTGAGTTGGAGATCGTGTGGATGTATCGTTTAGAATGTCATAATGATATGGGCGTTCTGGCGAGGAGAATAGAACTGGCACAGCTCGGTGTTAGCTTCCTTGCACGATCATGTTGGAGGCATAGCTCTCACAGAGTCAGTCGTGATATGTCGTTAATTCCAATGGGAACTGCACAGAGACGGTGTATGTGGTGCGCCGCCGATCCCGAAGCAAGTAGTTTGCAGTGGCCACTCGATTGTGGCAGTTGCCTTCGGTATCGAGAGTAGGTACCGTCGGAACTTCCACACGAAAACTTATGTACTCAATCACCAGTCGGTGTGCGTCTCCAGTCGTGTGCTGTTGCTATGAGGCTGGCGGTCAGTAGTATAGTGTTGCCATAGCTACCACTCAGACACCTCACCCTACGTGTGTCTCGAGTCGACGTGGAAAAGCAGGGGCCTCCAGGTAAAGGTGAGGGCGTTGCTGATATGCAGTCAGTCGCTGTCGCGAAGTGACGCCAGCTTCCATACCCATGTTGACGGCCAGTAGGATGTAGTGCGCACATCCATGGATGAGGCTGGAGACGGACGCTTGCTTGCTTGTTCAACGCGGGTAGGTGTCCAGATTGTAGTCATGGAAGGAACACCCAGTCTGACATGACACATCATTGCGCAGTCACGTGTATGGCGCCAACCGACAACTTGGCCTCTTTTCATGCCCAATATGGAGCGCGGACGTCATGCAATTCTGACACTGCAAGCATCGGCATGATGCACTGATTGTGAAAAACACCAGAAATCTCATTCTATTACCACAATCATATACCATTATGCAAGAAGAAAAGAAAATGCATCGTACTGATGACGGCGCAGCCGCATATACAACTCCCTAAGAAACCCCCGAGAAGAAATGAAAAGTGGCGTTGCGTCGTTGCACATTACGCGTGAGCGTCATTACATGTATACAGATATCCCAATCGAGCATATGACCCATCCAAAACGGAAGGTACGACCCTGACTGAGACCCAGACGGCGGAGAAGAGAGATTAGTAGCGTACCACGGGTGACGCGCTCGTGCTGCCGTCCTGCACCATAACACCTTCTCTGACACCCTCCTTCTCCATCTTGTGCATCCAGTCCTCTTTCTTGTCCTTCTTGTGCATCCAGCCGCTAAAGATCTTCTTCAGTTTGGACTTTTGCTCTTCCCGGCCTGGGGTCTTGGGCTCATTGGAGAGGGTCTTCCGGGCCGTGGTATCCAGACTCATCTTACGAGAGAAGGTAGACGCCTCAGCACTCTGGTTGCTGGCAGAGTTGCTATCTCCGCTTCGTTGGCGAGTGTGGTTGCTGGAGCCTACTTCGAGGCGCTGGTCTAGATTACTAGTAGAGGACCAGCCAGTCATCGTGTTTCCGGGGTGTGTTGGGCTACCTGGATTGGTCCTTGTGGGCTGTGGGATGGCCTTGGTCTCCTGTTTGCGAGACGACTTCCGGGCAGGGAACGAATCGTTGAATTGCATGGCCAACGTGTCAGATCCGCTCTTCCTGTGTTTCTTCGCGGCGGGAGAGCGTTCCTGGTGCTGTTCTTGCGAGCGCATCATGCTTGCAATGTGTGTTGCGGCGGTTGGCGATGTGGGAGATTTCATCGATACTGTTATTTCCTCCTGAGGAGATTCTTGGTGGTCCTTCCATGTGTCCAGGCCTGGTAGTGGGGGTAGCTCTCTGTTCAAGTTGAGGCCGTTGGACTCTGACTTCCTGGGCTGAGCTTCCTCCGGTTTTCCTTTCGAGGTTCCTGGTCTGCTGTTGCTTCTTGAACTCAAGCGGCGGGGTATACCCCAGCTACGCCATCCTGAATTCGAGCCACTGCGTGAGAGACCCTGGTCGTCGTTGTCGGCTGCTGGACGAAGAGACTCTTTGGACTGAGCGCGGCTCAGAGCCCGGCTGCGAGAGCCTGGGAAGATGTATTCTTTGACGCTTTCCTTCACACTGGCAGCACGACTGGGTGGTCGGACTGAAGTCGATGAGCGGCCACGGTGGCCCTCTGATGCTTCTTGCTGCCGCTTCTTCTCCAGCTCTCGACGCATCCATTCTGCGGCTTGTGCGTCTGCAACTGCTGCTGGGTTATCGGATTGGTGGGATAGTCGGTTCATGCTCCTGCTGTAGGGTAGAGATGCTGAGGTGGGCACTGACGACGACATCTTGGCGTTGGCGAGAGTAGATGTGACTGCTACGGGAAGGGTCACGTCTTCGTCCGAGTCATTGTGGAAGACGTTCGATCGCGGTACGTCCATAGAAGTCTTGCCGTATGACCTCAGCTTCTCCTCCCTCTCTGCGTCCCGTTCGTCAAGCCATCCGAAGTCAGCTCGCTTGCGACTGCTATTCGCGCGTGCAGGCATGTCTCCGTAGGTCCTTGCTCTAATCTCCTGGTCCGCCTTCGTGCGCGAGCGCGTCTTGGTGCTGGGTTTGCGCATCATGAATGACGTCGAAGTCGCTGCCAGCTCTGGAGGCGCGCCAGTGGGCATGCGGACAGCGACCTCAGTGGCCTGTGGTTTAGTCTCCTTCCGTCGGCCGAGGCCACCAAAGTCGAGCTTGGGATCGGTGTTCTCCATGCCATGGTCGGACGGCTTGAAGTTCTGCAGGATTTCGCGACATGCTAGGCGCAGTTCCAGATCGGTATGTTCGTCGAGGACGCGGCGGTTGATGTAGGGCGATTGGTCGCATATGCTGTCTTTGGAGGTATGTCTCTTGTGTGACGAAGAGGGAGTCGGGTCCGGCGCGGGCTTGTCAGAGAGGTCTGGCTTGGAGGCAATCTTCTACATTGGCGGTGAGTTACTGTTGGGATGCGACTGCAGACAAAGGACTGGGGATGGAACGTACGACTGGCGCCAGATTGAAGGAGAACTTGCGTTGCTTCATGATTGATTAGAGTATGCTATATTAGGCCGAAGGCAGTGATTCGAGTAGAGTGCGGCTGCAGAGCGTGTATATGTGCTGCAAGTGCGCGACGAGGAAATGGGTGCGCGCGCGGGAAGCCGGTAGAGTATGGTCGGCTAGGAATGGCTAGACAAAGCTACTGGCGACTACTGCAAGCATGGGGGACCTGGGAGGATATGACGGAAGAATCGTGGTGATGCGCCGTGGGTTGGCCTGCATCGAATAGTGCAGTGCAGCGGGGCCAGGAGGGAAGAACTCCCAGGAAGTACGGGACAGGACGATAGGTATACTGCGCGTCGTGGTGTGCGCCGGCCCGACCAGGAGGTGTTGGAGTTTCAGAGTGGCAGCTAGCATTAGACAGGACGCAGCCGACCACCAGCCTGGAGTCTCGATGCCTCGTAGAATGATAAAGCAGCCAATCAGCCGAGTGGGCGCCTGAAGCCTCGACAGCGGCCAAATCTGCCACTCGTCAATCAAACCCTCTGTCGCCCACCCGCACGCGCCTCCTGAAGACGCCCAACAGCCACAGCCCGCCATGACCTGCCCTCGCAGTCCCTCCAGCCAGCCCTGGACATCGGCGGAAGGAGCGATCGTGTGCCCCTTCCCAGCAGAACCAGACTATCGAAACTTAGCGGCGCTGCGGCCCCACGAATAGCAGCCAAGAAGGGCCGCGGACATGAGCTCGATCCGGCGACCGCATTCCAGATCTCCATACACACGACCGCACTCCATTAAACACGAAGATGCTCCTTTTGCGCCCTGGCCTGCACTCAGCACGCCAATCGCGCTGCGTCCTTTGCTGACATTTTCTTGGCCCAGCGAACGACGGTTGGACATGCGGGGCGAGTTTCACATCGTAAAACATTCGCCATTCATCCACCACTGCTGCCATGTCCGCCGCTGCAATACTGTCCAACCTTTAATAGCAGGGGAGAGAGAAGCTTCCGCCGGCGAGAAGAAACTTCTGTCTGCCGACCCTGGCTGGAAACTTCCGTGAGGATATCCTGGGAATAACCCGACGGGCTATTGTTGTGCTGCCGTAGCGCACTGGCTTCAGGACAGGCCTCTAAACGGTCGCTACATCCCTCCATTCCTTCTGCGTGAGCCCCCTCATCGTCATGGCATGCGTCATCCAAGCATTTCGTTTTGCGTTTCAGTGCTCCGTTATCATCCACGCTCAACCAAGCTCCAAGTTGCTCAGCCGTCTGGTTTATGTGCGGGTCCCCTCCATGAAGTGCGTCGGCTAAAACTACCAATACTCGCCGCCCAAGCTACCACAAGATTCGCTCAACTCTCACAAACCCTCGCGGCCTTGTCACTCGCTAGGCGCGAAGATCGCAGATCGCAGGTCCACCTGTTATTGTCGCTAGGGACGGCATTGTGCGACCATGGTGCGAGATCAAAATAAGTCAACACTTAACCACTGCATCGGGTGGGTACATGAGCCTTCAATACCCTAGGCCGGCACCATGCAACGGCCTCACTACCAGTGGGTAAGCACTGCGCGGACACGAATTTCTTCAGCAAGGCTCATTTGATGCCTGGTGCGAGACGTCTAAGCATGCGACTACTGCTGCACGCTTTTCATCACGCACACAATCACGATGCGCGTCAACATTGCCTCAGAGTCTTGGTGTAAAACTTTCAATTCGACGAAATTGCGCGGTGATCCCAGTGATGTTGAAAGTTATTACTGCTGAATGCATGCTTGCCTTGCTGGTATCCAAGCGATCGAGATTGTTCGAAACAAAGAGCCGCCGCGAAACTTTGGAAGTCCGGCACTGCGACGCCTCCAGAGCATGATTGACCGGCATACGTAGTCGCTGACCAAATTCATCTCGCGCAGCCCCTATGCCTTAGTGAGCGGCCCCTCCCGTTGACATCAATCGCACACATTACAACCTTGGAATCTTGTAAAAGGTTCACGGAGGTCCCGGCAACGCCTCAACTTGTAACACTCATCTCAACAGTGATCTCACTGTAGCAAGCTTTCGAGCTTGGACTGTTGGCTTTTGGCGATGGTTATAGCTTCCACGTCAACTGACGAAGTCAGAGTCACCAAAAGCTATGGCGTCAACAGCGCATACTCACACGACTGCAATGAATCAATAATGCATCGCACTGATGAATTGATATCCATGGGGTTTACACGCCATCGGAAATGAAAAGCTCTAATTTGCACACATCGGGAGCATCAAACTCGAAAACACCAAGAAACCCAACGAGTACGGGAGCCACCGTCGTTCAGTACTCTGTCCTCCTGTACCTTGCACTCAAGCATATTCTACACGACGATCCGCGGCATCTTCAATACAGCGAGAAAGTCAAGCAAACTCGATACTTGGCTGCAAGCACCGAACACAGTCGAACACCTTCCGCCAAATCAAGACAGGAGCGCGAAGCACAACCTCAGAACGGTACCAAAAGCGAAGACACTTCTGGCGCAGGATATGACCTTTCGAAAGATGGGCAAGCGACGGCGCTCGACAAGCCCTCCTGCCGACGACATACACAGAGACGGCGCATTCCCCAAGCTGATCAGGCTTGCCTAATCGAGACTAAGCCTAGAGACCCAAGACTACATCTCTCCAAGACAGAAATGAGCGA